GTACACGTGTGTACAAACGCTGGTGCTGGTGGACCTGTGAGAGGGAACGCATTAACAGCGGTTACTCTGTGTGCACAAATCTGTGTGCATACATTTGGGTGCCTTGGCTGGGGGGTTGGGAGGCCGTTTCCTGTTGTGTTCTTAAGCTGCGGTGCTCCTGTGAACAAGCTGTTTGGTTCCCACACAAATACAGGTGCTTTGGCGGTTGCCTGACTGACTCTCGGAGGACCCGGACCTCTTGGTCAACCAGCGGATCCAGAGACTATGCGGCAGCCACACATGTCAAAGAAAAGCTTTACACGGCACAAGCCGGCTGCTGCGGTGGGGCCCCGTGAGTGCATGCTCAACCTCCGCATCCACCTGTGCGATCCAGGACGCCCAGGGGGCGTCTGGGAGGAACAGTCGATCTTCCAATCTACAGGGTGGTGGCCAGAGGAATCGAAATTGACAGGCTGCCTCCAACGCAATGCTCTGCCAGGTGTTTTTTGAGGACCCAGGCTTTTTTCCGACTTACAAACGGAAATTTCCAGGGCTAATTCGGCCCACTGGCGGTTCATGGGGCTGGAGGTGGGGTCAGTAAAGTGGGATCCAAAGTACGCGGGAGCTCACGTTCCCAGCCAAGGGCTTTGGGTCCCACCGCCTCCAGGGCTGTGTTCTACAGGCCTGGTCCAAGTATCTGCCTGACCTCTGCGAACGTGTTTTCTGCTTGCGATCCCTTTCTGATTGCCCCCGAGGTGCGGAATGCACAACCCGTTTGGGGTTGTGGCTTGGGATTCCGGCTGGGGCTCGGCCCGCAGCTGTCCTGGCAGTAACGACAGTCCTTAATGAGCGGCCTCCGCGGCCCTTCCTCCACCCGCGCAGAGCGCCCACCCGAACCCGCTAATTGCTTAAGTCCGTCTGCACCGCCTGCCACCCAGATGGAGGCACCGGGGGACAGATGGGGTCCAAGAACCTAGGGGGAGCACCAGGAGCTTCCCTAAGGCTGGCTGGGGTTGGGGGAGGGGAGGGGCGGGCAGTATCAAAAACAAGAATTCCCCAGTTGGAGCTAAACCAGTCTGGGTGGGGAGTGCTGGAGTTTTCAGGGAGGTAAGTGTTCTAGAATCAGACTCCTGATGGCCACCTTGCTGGGTGGGGTTATTGACAACTGTTCCTGTGTCAGGCACAGGACTCAGTTTCCTTCCCTGTAAAATGTGATAACAGCACCTCCTCAGAGTTACTCTGAAACTGATTGCATTGACACACAAAGCTCTCAGTGTTGTGCCTTACCCTCACTAGCCTTCAACAAATGTGGTCACCTCCTCTTCCAGACTTCCTATTCATATCTTGAACTCCCCAGGGTTACAGTCGCTCCTGCCCCTCTTTTCCTAGCTTTGCCATACTGGTTCCTAACTGCATCTTCCCCCTTAACCTGCAGCCAGACAACGCAGTCACATGGAGCTAACTCAGTCCCTTGGAGAGAGATGAAAATTGGAGGTGTGTGTGTGTGTGTGTGTGTGTGTGTGTTTAGGGGTGATCCCTACCTAGGGACTACCACCAGAACCAAGTCTCCTCCTTTGACTCTGCCTAGGATGACTGCACATTCTAATAGTGGAGTAATCACCCTGTTTTGATGCTGATTGGTCCTTTTCCTAGGATTGTATGTGGATTCAAGACCAGCAACTGTTTATTCTGTCAGCCAGTCGTGATTCCTATTTCCCCCACAGTCCTGCAGAGATACATCTGGGGTTGAGTGCCAGCTACTTACCCATAAGGTGTCCCTTGATGTAGAACCCTTCTTAAAGACATCCCCATGTTCCCTTCTGATACTATGTCAGGAGAAGAACTTGACATAAATCTGTAAGGACAAAGGGGCTTTAATATAAGAGGTGAAAGGGGTATGGGGGGGTTCCTTTGCCTTAGATGAACTTCTAGGCTGGTATCCAGGTCCATTTTTAACAGAGTGCAGACAGACTCCTGGGCTGATTCTGCTCTCACAGAAAACAGACATTTCTTCATACTTTTATCCACAGGAACATCTGGAGTTGAAAGGTGTTCAGACATAGCTAGCTGGACCTGGTGGCACAGACCTACTCTTGAGGTTAAAGAAAGAAGACTAAAAATTCAAGGCCTGCCTGGGCTAACAGAGTGAGTTCAAGGCTAGCTTGGGCAACTTAGTGAGACCCTGTCTCTAAATAAATAAATATTAAGACAGTCATAGAACGCTTTGCCCACCACGTGCAAGATCTTAGGTTCAATTTGAAGTGCCTAAACAAACTATTAACAAACAGAACCCGAGGCACCTGGCCCTAAGGAGCCCTTCTTTGGCAGTCCCGGAAAGAAACACACAGACCATGGCAATTGTCCCTGGTACCACATCTTCCCACAGCCACAACAGAGCCCTGGTATGTGTCTCCTCTGACATGCCCAGCCAATTTGCCAGTTTGCTTTATCACTAGGATGTGGAATTCCACCTCTATAGTACCAGAGGTGCCCTGCAACTCAGGCCAATCCTACAACACAGAATGGGGGAATGACGACAATGACATGGGACACCTGTTTTCTGTGACTCTTGCCCATACTGAAGAGTGGGGAACATGGGAATAGTGTCCTTGTAGGGGAGGTGAGGGGTGCAGAGGCCAGTGGAAGAGACTCAGTTCCAGGGGTGCTCATGACACTCTGTCCTCTCAGTCTCCAGTGGGGTTCCCAACTCCTTAAGTTGTAAGAAAGTCTCTCAGACCTTGGGGCTGATGAGTCCCTGAGCCCTGAGACTGAGACCTGGCTAGTCAGGAAGACCATGAAGAGGGACATTGCTGGGTAGAGGCTGAGAGGCAGTTCAGACCTGGAAAAAAATTTGGGGAGCAAAATTGGTGTGTCCAATTCCTGCAGACTGTGCAACCCCAGGGACTTCCTTTGCCCACCTAAATCAAAGTGGTATCTCAGTGTTTCTGCACCTCTAATCATAGATTACTCACTGACCTGAGTCTTCCATCTGGTTTCTCCTAATCTAGAACCACCTTGGACAAGGAACTACCTGTCAGAGTTGGTCGTGCTCTGTGCCTGCTGGTGCGGTGGCCAGGGATGTTCTGGTCCCATAGGCGGAGAGTAAAGCCCTCAGTGGCTTGCACAGCTGAGGTGGGGCCCAGAGCCTGTTGGGACACAACTCCTCCTTGGTGGGACACAACTCCTCCTTGGTGGGACAACTGCAGTAGGCTAGGTGTGTGTGTGTAGCCTGGAGGCAACTGGACACCTCTAAAATCTTGGGGACTGCCTGGTGTGGTGGCACACACCTTTAGTCTCAGCAGAGACTAGTGGATTGCTCTGAGAAGGAGGCTAGCCTGGGATGGTCTACATAGTGCATTCCAGGCCAGCTGGGGCTACATAGTCAAAGAGACCCTGTCCAAAAACAAAAGCAAAAAACCCCGCCAAACTTGGAGACTGAGATGAAGAAGGCTACTTAATTTCTTTTCTTTTAACAATTGTCTGTGCACAAGGCCTGAGTTCTTAGAGCCTGGGCAGGCACAAGGTGAGCCTGGCTAGGTGAGCAAACCCCAGTCGCTGCAAAGTTCCAGGCCTCAGGCCTGCCAGGTTCTTAGCTCAGCATTTGGGATTTACAGCCTCAGGTGTCCCTCTGTACATCTGGAACTGGACTAAGTTTCTAACACCGAGCAAGTTTCGTTTCAAATGGGATTTTGGGATAAACAGGTCGGCGCTACACAGCACTTTTCTTGAGTTTGCTTAGCACCCCAAGTCCATCTTTCTCTGTTCCACACCTCAACCTCTGGGGTGTGGATGAGAATTCGGCATCCCTCCTTGCCTTAAGGGAAACGTGAAGCCGTTAGTGAAAAGCTAGGTGACACCCACAGCACCTGCTACAGTTCTGACTAGCAGTTGGACTACCCGCTGATTGCCGGAGAAGTGCCGAGCGAGCGAGGGGATGGGGTCACTCTCAGGCCTGGTCAATGGATTCCCTAATGGGCCCGCCTGGGAAACACAGGACTTAAAAATCTCCACTCCCAAGTCCAGGTACCCATCCCCAGTGGCACTAACCGGATCGTGGGCTGGAGGGTCCTGCCTCCAGCGAGTCTGCGGTGCAGTGCTGCACCAAGTGGTCCGGTTGGAGTTCAAGGAGACTGTAGCAGGCTCCACCTCAAACTCTATCAGGAAAACTGAAGCTTTAAAACAAGTCTGCCCAGAATCTCGGCAGAGAGTACTACCCTAAATTTGCATCGAAGTTCAGGATTGCAAGAAGCCGGGTGGCCGTAAGACCACTGAGGTTGCTTTGGGAAAAGAGGACAGAGGCCGAAGGACTGACTGCATGTGAGAGCCATAAGGCCAGTAAGGTTCCCAGCACGCCCACTCTTTGCAGTTCACCGCGGGGTAGGCACGCGAGAAGGTCCTAGAAGGCATAGAGAAGGGATAGAAGAGTTAGTGAACCCTCACCAAACTCTGCTGCAGCGCTTTGACCAAAAAATCACACAGGATGTGCGGGACACTGGGCCCCCAAGCTTCTGGGCTCGACTCAACTGAAGGAAACCCACTCCGCTCGGTGGTGGCCGGCGACTGCCCTTGTTTAAGGAGAATGAAATCCCAGCGGAAGAGGATGGCTGAATTCCCAGACGCCCAGCAAAGGTTGGCCCTTACCCCTGAAGCCCCAAAGTTTCCCACTCCTGGAAGGAAAATTTTAAGCTTCAACTAGCCCAATCTTCAAGTGAAGGGAAAAACTGTTTCCAGTTAGGTGTGAAAAAAATTTAAAAAGCACAGATAAGTTGTGTTCAAAACCGAGAGAAAGTTCCCTAAAGATGTTTTAAAACCAACAAAATGAGCTTCAAATCCGTTCCTAAAGAAATCGCAACCGCCACTCTCTTTCCCCAGCCTCTCCTTAGTCCCTCATCTGAGTCACTCACACAGATCGAAAACACCCGGCTTACTTTAAATTTTTATTTAAAATCTCAACACTCGATCATTTATTTAGGTTTTTTTTTTTTTGCAACCAAACCAGTAATAAATATTATTTAGCACTTCTTTTTTTCTTCATCTTTTGTTTTTTTTTTTTTTTACAAAAATAAAAAAGATGATACACTCTGCGCACAGCAGCGCGCGGGAGAGGAGGGATGTTAAAAGAGGCAGACGCTATGAAGCCCATATTTGTAACGCAGGCAGCGCCAGGCGTTTTGCGCCGAGGCAGAAAGCACGTGGAGGGATTTGCCATTCGTGTTAAACGCCGCAAAAAGAAAAAAAAAACGAAACAGCAGAAGACAGCCAGCTTAAACTCGGGTGGGGCTGGCAGTCACGTGAACAAACAACTTAGCATCATACGCTTCAACGTTCATATTATATTTACACACACAAGAAATTATTAAAAACCCAACAGAAATCCCCCAAATAATTCAAGCTGTATTCACAGCAACATTTTTTAAGTTCTGTGAAGCCCTCAGGTACCAAAGCAGCTGTCTCCAATCCTGTAAGAAACCAAACTACCTTGTGATCAAAAATTGGGGGGCGGGAGTGTGAGGGGGTGATGGGGGACTAGTTTTTATTAGAAAATGATACCTTAAAAAGCATCCCCTCCCCATTCAGTAGTTTGGGATAATTCCATTCCACAAGTGGTTCTAGTCTGAGCGTCTGTAAAGCTTGCTCATATTGTTGAAAAGGAACATTCACAGATTTGTTAGGAAACCACAAACTCCCAAACCAACTGGAAAGACAGTAGGGAAGGCCACACTTCTTAGATCATGCGGGTTTCCTCAATCAGGGGACAGGACCCTAAGTGCTTTTTTCACCAAAGCCAGCTTCAACTAACTTACTGCTCCTGGCTCTGGGCCAGGGACGAACCTCCAGGGCTAGGCCCAGCGGCCGCTTCAGCAGTGTGGCTCCCAGAGTCTTCTACCCGCCCAGAAATGAGGAAGGGGAGTCAGGTCCCCCAACGCTCCTCCTCGCTGCCTCTCCAAGAAGTACTGCCTAAGCCAAGACAGGAAGTCAAACAGTGCACGTGGGAAAATCAGTTTTTAGACTCTTCCTGAGGCTGCGGGGAGGGAGTTCGAGTGAGTCTTGGCTGTTTGTTTTATAAAGCGGTGTCTCCAAGACCTACGGAGTTCAGCCATAGGGCTTAGTCACGCTCCGCAGCGAATGCGCCGCTCACTCCCACTTGCCCCAAGTGCGCCTCCTACTTCGGTTCCGGGATACTGGAGTCCCCAACATCCCCTAGGCACAGCCCATGGTCCCGCTTTCCTCATAACAGAGCCCCGGAACCCCAGCGCCGGCCAGTCCTCGCTGCCCCGCCACCCTCGGCTCGCCAGATCGCGTCCGAGCGGGCCGGTTCACTTGGCATCGGAGGTGAGACGCGGCAGGCTGCCGGCGCCCATGGCCGACACGTGGTGGTGCGGCGGTGGCACCTGGCACATGCTGCAGGGGCAAGGCATGCCACCCCAGTGCTGGAAGCCACCGCTGCCGCCGCTGCCGCTCCCTCCGCCCCCCAGAGGGGCCGCTGCGGCCGCGGACGGAGACTTGAGCAGACCGTGCGGAGGCCGGATGGAGCCGACCGAGGACAGCCCGGAACCCGGCAGAGAGGCGCTGGACACCGCTGCTGCTGCGGCTGCGGCCGCGGCGGCCGCAGCTGCGGGCGGAAGGATGGGGTGGTGCACAGCCGGGTGATGCGCGGCGTGCGCGGCGGCCGCCGGGTGCGCGGTGGCAGTGGGCAGTGGCGCAGAGTGTGCCAGGCCGCCACAGGCCGACGGGTGGAAGCCGGCGTGGTGACTGCCGTAGATCTCGCTCACCAATCGCTTCATCTCCTCCAGCGAGTTGGTAAGCATCAGGATGTAGTTTCGCGCCAGCAGCAGCGTGGCGATCTTGGAGAGCTTGCGCACCGACGGGCCGTGCGCGTAAGGCATGACCTCCCGCAGGCCGTCCATGGCGATGTTGAGGTCATGCATGCGTTTGCGCTCGCGGCTGTTGATCTTCAGGCGCAGCTGCTGCAGCTCGGGCTCGGTCATCTGCTTCTTGTCTTTCTTGGTGGACGACGTGGCCGCCGACGACGTGGATGATGAGGTGCTGGACGAGGAGGACTTGAAGCCACCGCCACCCAGCTTGTCCCCGGGATGAGCGTTCGCCGCGCCCATGGCTCCGCGCAGCTCTGCGCTCAGCTCTGGTGGGCAGTCGCTCGGCGTGGACGAGGACACTGTGCCCCCGGTGAAGCCGCTGCCGCTGCTGCCCTTGCTCCGGGCGGGCAGAAAAAGATCATCGGGCTCTGGCGAGGACGGGCGACTAGACACCAGACTAGCGTCCGAGTCCATGGCCCCAGGAATAATGTCAATTTGCGTTCGGTCCTCAGAGTTTCCAGGAAAAGAGAGAGAGAGAGAGAGAGAGAGAGAGAGAGAGAGAGAGAAAAAAGAAAAGAGGGGCAGGTTCTTCAAAAAGCTATCTAAACTCTTAAAAAATCCACAGAGAGGAGAGAGAGAATAAGTGACACAGAAAAGCTGCTTCCGCCTGCACAGAAGCTCAGGGTGCAGGCAAAGGTGACTGACTAGTGGCTCAGGTCCACCTTGCGGCTCTCTAGCCATCCAGGGCACACAGGTGCTCTTAACAAATTTCTCTCCTTCCCCACCACCTCCTTCCCGTGCTCACCCACAGGTCACCTTATTTCGGGGAGCACCGGGTGACCCTCAGTGAGGGAGAGCCTAGGGGTTTTGTTCCTTCAGTGAGAACTAGGAAGCCCGGGTGACCAGGGCTGGAATAAATGAGGACTTTTCTTGGGGGCGGTGAGATCTAAATAGAGAACTAGTTCGTTCCTCTAACACATCCACCTTATCTCCATCGACACCACACAACAAACACACGGGTGCACGCACTCGCTCCGGGCCCACGTTCTAAGTGCTTGCCAGCTGACCTGGTCTTTGGCACCCCGAGCTGTTGGCGCAGAAGATACTGCAATCCAGCGCGGGGACCATTCGAGCAGTGAAGCCACTCGGTATAACTGATCCGCAGGGGCAGGATGGGGCCAGGATGTGTGGGTGCAACCTAGGTCTTAGCCCTAGCTGGGGGCGTCAGTCCTCGGGTCTAGGCTGGGGTGGTTGAGGGGTGGGGACACTTACTGTGAATTCGATTCCAGAAAAAGCTGCTTAGGAGAACCTGGCTCTGTGCACTGGTGTCGGGTCCGTCTATAATGAGCATCCGCACCTTTCCGGGTTCCTCTGGATTTTATAGCCGGGTGTTGACTGCGGCGACCGCGGTGGCGGTGGCCGAGACGGGGGCGGGGAACAATGTGAGTGTCCTGGAGGGGCAGCAGCTCCAATGAGCTGGGCCCGCCCGAGGGGCTGCGAAGCTGATGTCATCCGGACTAATTCAGCTCAATGAAACCCGCCGGGCCCGGCACACGCCTCCTCTCTGCACATGACCAATGGGCGCCCGCGGTCGAGAGATTCTTGAGGAGGGACTGGAGGAGGGACCTGGGGAGGGAGAGGAGTAGGCAGGCAGGAGAAGGAGGAGGGACGGAGGAGGGGACGTTGAGAGAGCCAGTGTGCTTGGGACCTAGGGAGAGAAGGAACACCGTCTACTTTCTACAAAAATATGGTCACCTTAGCGTCAGGCCGGGTGACCAGGTGGATTGTGGACCCTACAAACTAATCTGATACCCAACCAGTTGGATGTTTTAAGGTGCACGCAGATAACCCGAGTGACATCGCCCCCACCTGGAATCGTCCCTAGTTTTCCTCTCTGGTTTCCTGCTGCCTGGCTCCATCTCATGGTTTCCTTAGATGCGTGAGCATTTGGGGTTGTATATATAAAGGATGACCATGCACAAAGCGCCCCACTTTCTTAGCACTTCTACTTGGTGGCGGTTGCTGCAGATCTGCTGACAGGCGGTAGCGCCCTCAGGTGGGGGCATGGCCTTGCAGCGCAGAGGGCGGGCAAAGAAGGAAACCAACTCTAAGACTTTTGAAAGAAATTATAACTCTACCTTAAAGTTGAGGATTGTGTAAAAAAGCGTGGAGGAGCTATTTTCTCATAGTAACCTCCCTAACACCAGCATTATTAGTGGAGTTAAAGATCTCCAACCATCCACTCTGTATATTAGCAGGGGAGTCTGGTGGTGGTACTCTCCATACATCACTGCTGTATCTCCGCCTTTGGGTAGAGACAACATTATTTACAAAGAAATGTCTGGGGCACTAAACTGTGGACCAGGGAACAAGAGTTGAACCACACTCATGGCTGCCTTGGATTATCATTTTATTTATCCCAGCCTGCCTCCCAATCTGGAGAAGCATCTGAGGTAGTCTAAGGGTACCCACACATTCACCCATTTAACAGATGAGAAAATCTTAAGACTGTCTACAGCAAATTTACAGATGAAGAAGAAGAAAAAAATGCCAGGCCTATACAGACATCCCTGCCTGGCCTGGCACAGAAGCCAGGGGTTGGCTGTTCTATAAGCTTAGAGGGCTTATATTCTCCCCAGCCCCCAACCTTTTTTCCCCTGAACTGAGTTTTTCACATCCAGGCATTTCCAGCTCAGATTTTTTTGTTTGGGTATTTATTTATTTACATATCTCTGATGTTAGCTTCTCTCTCCCCCTCCCCCCCCCCAGTCATACACAGGTGCCCAATCCTGTCTCACAGGAACTTTTAAAGGTCTGTTGGTTTTACTTCCATTGCTCGGGTACTTTAATGTGCACATATAGTTTTAAGAGATAAACAAACACTAATTAATGTCCTCCTGTAGCAGAGTTACAAAACGAACATGAGAACTGAGTCTATTGCTCCCAACAGTGGAGCAACCTGTGTGTTTCCCAGCTGGTTCTGCAGTCATCCGTTAAATATGTATTTAGAACATGAAAAACTGAAGCTTGGTGATAATGTTGCCCACAGTTATGAGGATGACCCATAACTGTTCAATTAGCAGAATCTGTCACACAGGGGAACAGACTCCGGTGGGGTGGGATTAGGAGGAGTTTGGGCATGTGAGGACCATTCTTGGGCCTGCAGTGAGGATGCTATGGGGCCACCAGTAGAGGGTTGCAGCCTCTGAGGCTGGTCTAGCCTCTGCACATTCTTTTGTTGCTTCCGGCTGGTTAGCTGTCCAGGAGTCCAGACACTTGATCCAGTGTAGCTGGAGTTGGAGCCAGGGCCAAAAGTTGGGGGACCCATTCTACCACTTCCAGCATCTAAAGTCAGCAAAAGCAGGAAGGCAAGAGTGTAGGCTTGTTCTGCAATTCGTAGTGTCTCTTTCACTACCCTCCTTCCATAGACGGAAACTAGACGGGGTGGCTCGCCTTTGCTGCTCTTCTCGGTCCTAGAGGCATCTCTAGCACAGGTCGGCTTACACGTCCAGGGTGGGTCGGGAGCAGTGGTTCCCACCATCGCCACACAGCTGGACCAAAATCCCATCACCGGGAATTGAGTGTTCACTTGCTGAGGCTCGGCTCCGGGAGTTCTTGGCTGGCCTTGGCGTCCTAGAGCTATTGGCCTCCTCCATCAAAACGGAAGATGTGTTTTTCCTTCTCCTTTGTGTTTCCTTAGCACAAAAGGCCGGGTGCGTGTCAGGGCCGGCCTTTGCTCGGCTGCCTGGCGGTCCAGGAGGAGCTTGTGCCAAACCTACTGGGTCGAGCTCACGCGGGGCTCCAGGACACAGACCTCCCACCGTCTCCCGGGTCCCTTTCGTTCTGTCTTTCTCTCTTCTCTTTTTTCTGCTAGCATTCAGGCTGGCAAGCAAAGCGGTGTCCTTGTGCAGAAACCTCCCGGGGTGGCGGCGGAAGGCAAAGCTCCTGGCACTGAGGGAAGCGTTTTCCAGTTTTCCAGCCATCTCAACGTCCGGAAGTCAGAAAGGACGCAGAATGGCTGCGTTTGAGGCTCAAACGGGTGTGGTAAGACACACCAGGAGTCAGAACTTTTCTAACAAATGGCATTTCCACCTGGTAAAACTCAGCTCCAAGTCAGCTTGGCCATGCCAGGGTCCTGATCCACAGCTGAAAAGCAGATCCTGGCAGGTGGCGTGCACTTGGCGAATATTTCTAAAGGCACACACATGCAATCGTATCTGGATGCGTGTGAAACATGACTTGTAAGATTCATGTAACCATGGGCAAAGATACCTTGTCTGTTTATGCACAATAAATGACAGTCTGCACTCTGGATTATGGGGTATGTGACATCCTTTAGAATGACATCCACCTAGTGGCTTCCATCTAACAACTGTGGCCACTAAAAGGTGGCCCAAGTTGTGAGGTGGGGTGGGGAACTTGGCTGGTTTTGACAGACTCCTTTTTGTTCCATCTCTTGGTCTTAAAGGGAAGTATCACTCCCATTTCACAGACAGGAAAGCTGACTCTTCAAAGAGGTGCGTGCTTTTTGTCCCGTTCCCCCCTCCCTCTAAGAGCAGAGATGTGCCTCCAGTTGCAAGGTCCAGAGGGAAGTCAGTATGGCACTGGGGAGGTAGTGGAGGAAAGGGGGCACCAGAGAGCTCTCCAGATGTCCCTCTGGATCTCAAGTTCTCATCTGTAAAGTAGGTTTCTTGAAGGTAAAGTGGCCTCAAGGTATGTGTTATCAATGATACCTGAAGGACACCCTCCGGGGGCGGGGGGTGGTTCTGTATTCTCTGGAGACTGGATAAGTAGGAGGAGGCACTGCCAGTCCTAAAGCCCCTTCAGACCTGACTTCCTACAAATTCCTGGTGGAATGGCATTTGGATAGGGCTGAACAAGCATGGAAATGAACTTCTATTAAGCTTAGAAAAAGCATTATCCCACTGAATTTTCCCAAAAGTCTCTGGTATTGTTGAGAGGGAAGCATTAATGTTCCCATTTTACAGATGGAGATAACAATGATCGGAGGTCAAGTCTTGGGGCTTCTGCAGGCTTGTTCTACACCTCCATTCTCTTTCCTGCCCCACCTAGTACACAGGAGTCAGTAGGCCTTCATCATTTCCTTGACTGATGTTGGAGTTACTGTTGAGTCCCCAGTGGCTCACTCCTTAGGAGCCATTTACTGCCACATAGGAATTAATCCAGAGGGTGGGGAATAGAGGTGGGAGGGTAGGATACATTGCCAAGTGTTACTGTCCTGAGGTACATTCACCTCATGTGATTGTAAAAGTTGTAAGGTGGACTAGGCTAGATAGCCTCTACATAGGAAACAATGGGTGTCTAGAAGTGGGAGAGACTCATCTGGCTACTAACATGTGACAGTTCCTTGTGGCACATTTCAGGGACAGAACTCTTGCCTGGGTTTGACCATAGGGTGAATCCTGGAGGAGCCAGAGAAGGGCATAGAACTCATCACAGCTGCTCCAAAAGGACAATTGTCTGACTTTTTGCTCTGGGGAAATTGGAGATGGTGCACCTGCTCTTTATGCCGAGGAAAACTTTATATTTAGAAACCACACAGCACTGTCCATATAATGAGCAGTAACGTGAATTCAAACCACCTGCTGTCAGGCGGCCTGAGGGGTCCTGACCTGGCTCTGCTAGCCTCTTACCTCCTCCACCAACCAGTTCTCAACAGTAGGGCTCTCCAAGGCTCTTTCCCCATCTTTGCCCACAGGCTCCTTCAGTCCCTATACCCTCTTCCTCCAGAGGCTGTGACTGGTTCTTGTCTTATCAGAGCCCTTTCCTTCTCCTTCCTGAGCTCCCCGACCCTAGTGGAGGTTCTACCCTTTGTTGTCAGGGTCTGGCTCTCTCTTTTGCTGGAAGCCCTCAGTGCATTCCTGGGGCCCAGGCCAGGGACAAGCTCCAGAGGGACTGGTAAGATGGTTCCTGACAGAATTTTATCAGTGTCCACATGCCACAGTAACAATGGCTCCAACCTTACAATTCCAACCCCAGTACTGGCTAGTTAACCAGTTTCAAAGAGGCCTAATGAATTTCAAGTTGCTTCTTCAGGCTATATGGAAACAGGGTGACATCCAATCCCCACCTTTCCCAGCCCCCTGCCCCTCCCCGGTCTAAACAGGCCATCTGATAATTCAGAGGGCCTCTTAAAATCTATCCCTCACCCTGTTTACCCTAGAACAGACTCCAGATCCTGGAGCCACCTGCAGCCTCCCGTGAGGCCAAGTCCTGCACCCTGTTCCACCAAGACAGAAAGGTGCTCAGGCCACTGCCTACTGCTGCCCACCGGCTTCAGGTCGCTCCCAGACGCCGTGGGAGGGGAGAGTTGAGGGGGTTGGGGGAGATGGGAGATGCTGCTATGATGATCCAGGGCGTGACTGGTGACCTGGGTAAAGCTTTAAACCGCAGCCGCACCGGACTCTCCAAACTGCATCTGCCCTCCCGAGTCCCGGCTCAGCACACGGAGCTGGGAACCCACCGCGTGGGAGCGCGGCTGCTGGATGCAGCTGAAAACTTCCACGGCTCTTGTCC